AATACTTTTAGATGGTCATCATAGTCATAAGACATTGGAGTCAGTGATGTTTGTCCAGGAAAATGGCATCGAAATGTTAACTTTTCCTCCCCATTGCACACACAAGTTGCAACCACTTGATAAAACCTTTTTCAAAAGTTTGAAATCATTTTATAATTTTATAACTCATCAGCTGATTCCTGGATGATGACAAACAAAGGCCGTAGAATAACATTCTATGAAATTGCAACAATTTTCAAAACAGCTTATTTCAAAAGTGTTACCATTGACAAAGCAGTAAATGGTTTTGCTTCTACAGGTCTTTGGCCACCGAATATGAACGTATTTTCAGATGAAGATTTTCATCCTTCGAATTTGACAGATGAACCGTTACCATCATCTGCTTTAGATTTGAATTTACATTCAAATTCATTGATTGAAACCATTGAATCAGTGGTTGAAGATGACCCAAACCAATCAATTTCTTCAAAAAGCCTTTTGGAGTCAATTGTTGGACCAATAAAATCATCAACGCCACGAGGTAGAAAAAGAAAATCTGAAAGAGCTACCTTGCTAACGTCCTCACCAAACAAAAAATTGCTACAAGAAAAAGATGATCAAAATTGTAAAAAGATAAAGCGTTCTAAAGATTTATTAGATATAAAAAGTAAAACGGTGAAACGAACCAAAGATACAACTCTATGTGGGACTTGCACACAAATTTTTTGTAAAGATGTAACTGGGCGTCAGTGGATCAAATGCCAAAAATGTGGCATTTGGCATCATAATGGTTGCCAAGGACTAGAAGAGGATTATAATGACATTTTTATTTGTATTGAGTGTGATGATTAAAATTACAAACAAAACATTAAAATTTTAATAAATTTTATTTTGTCATTTCATTAAAAATAATAAAGCATTTTTTTTCATGCCTTTTGTTTCTATTAAAGCTATAACCATTGTAATCACAGCTTGTTTTGTTAATTTCTTAATTTGGGCCTTTTGCCCCAGGTATGGGGCAAGAAGCTCTTTTGATAGACCTCTATAGTTTTCCTCATAAAACACAGAAAGTGTATTTTTGAATAATTTAAATTGTAGAATTAGGTAGTGGACATACCAATCTAGCTAAGGCAACATTAAACTTTAAAAAATGTTCGAGTTGTTGGGTGTGGTCAACCGCCAAACGTTAGAGGTGGCTTTTTGCCCCATGCTACCCTATCTAACGTGTAAGTTTGAAAACTTTTGAAGTCGATTCTATCAGGTATGTTACTAGATTAGTTTTTATCGTCTATGATCAGAGATAATCTTTATTTATGACAAAGATATCCATGATCGAAATTTTTGTAGAGTCAAAACTATCAAATGTGTTCGTTTTGATAGTGGACCATAGCATCTGAAACATTTAATTTTACTCAATATATATGATCTGAACAATGAACATTACAACGGTAGAATTCATACAATACTGCATTCTCTCTCTCTCTCTCTCTCTATATATATATATATATAATTCAAGGCATGATAAGTTTTGTTGAAATTAACTATTTGCTACAACAGAATGCAACCCTAACCTCTGATAGAAAAGATTGTTTCATTTTTTCTATAAAAGAAATAATCATTTTTTAAATATTGCAAAAGTATTACCAGTATTTAAAATATTAAAACTATATTAATAATACATAATTCAATTCATTTTAATATTTAAAATATTACGAATATCACAATAATATTACAAATATTGTAAAGTATTTGGCTTTTCACAAAGAATGCAAAATATTCACAATCTTCTTTTAGTCGCTTATTTTAGTCGGATCAATTGTTTATTGCTTGATTAGGTTGTATCTGTTTTTTGTTCTCGATTAGATAGATGAGGATAAAAGTCATTTATTTTATTAGATAAATTAATTTAATTGATAAATTGTCTTAAATATTTTATTCATTAGTTGTATATCAGCTCATTCCGTTCAATTTTGACTTATTCATAAAGTTTTATTGTTTAGCTTAGCAATTAACAGAATTGAATCCTAATTTAAATTTAATTATAATTGTCAACCGAAGTCTGACTGGAACAGACCAGTGAAGCACTCTGAAGGAGAAAAGCTGAGGAGCGTGAACTGAAATTCTACTTTCCTCGAAATGCAAGTCTAACTACAGTTACTACACTGTTAATTAGTAAGTGCTGTCCAACAGAAATCAAGAACTGAAAAGAGATATTTCGTTATTTTCCATTTCGTTTTCTACAAATTAAACCAAAAAAATGGGAAAAATTTTTTTAAACCATTTGGGTGGAGCAAGGGTGTTTTCTTGTGCAAGCTGTGAAACGCCTTTGACTAACAAAACTGAATTGATTTCGACCAGGTTTACTGGGGCTACAGGTCGAGCATTTTTGTTCAATCGTGTTGTTAATCTCAATTACAGTGATGTACAAGATCGAGTAATGCTGACAGGTAGACACATGGTTCGTGATGTCTCATGTAAAAATTGTGATGTCAAGTTAGGTTGGATTTATGAATTTGCAACAGAAGATGCCCAAAAATACAAAGAAGGTAGAGTTATTTTGGAACGGGCCCTTGTAACAGAAACTGACAGTTTCGAAGATAAAATTTTGACCCCAAGTTTCTCAAATTTGTCCTCTTCAGTTGCTGCCAGTGCAGAGATTGTCAATTTAAGTTAAAATTAAATAATATCTGAAAATTGATATTTTGCGATCATTTATTAGACAAATTTCAGAATTTTTCTTATGTTTAATAGTTTTTTTCAATTGGTTTATCAAAAACAGTTTTTATATTAACATGTTTACAGTTGTGCCACTGCTTATTTCATGCGCATTTCATAGTTTCTTTCAAATAATTTCTTACACGTTTTTACATGAGATTGGTTTAGAAGTTTACATTTTAATCATGTACTAGCTGAGCTCACAAATTTTTTCTTTGCTAAGAAACAGTATCTTTTAAAAGATTAAACTTCAGGTCAACCCATTTTGAACTTGCTTTTAGGTCGATTAAAACAGTTCAGCATGTACACACTTCCATAATAAAATATGACCATTTTGCATAAATAATATTCTTTCAATTTTAGCATCTTTGGTACAGTTGTTCTAAAGTGAAAAATGGAAAACAATAGCTCATGTTGGACATTTTTTTTGTTTCTTCATTTAAATTGCCCAAAGTAAATCATATTCACACAGTTCGGCTTCATGTTATTTTAAAATTATTTTGCAAAAAAGATAGGTTATTTTGGCACAAGGGTGGAAAAGATACAGTAATTCTACTGAAAAATTCTGGAACATTAAGCGGGACAATTTAGCAATCATATCTCTTGGGTTATTTTAATGTTGGTGTTGCAATTTTCTTAATTTTTTGAATTCTTTTGCTTGCAGATATGAAGCTTTGGACAACTATGTACTTTGTATATACTAAATGTATTAGATTTACCACATCGTTGTTTTAGGTGGTAGGATTATTGTGAATAAAATTTTTGTTATTAATGCCTTGATTGTTTTTTTGGTTTTTGTGTAATTTTGTTCAACTATACATTAAAAGTTTAAGTCAATAAAATCTGGTAACTAGATTTGCAATTAAACATTGAAATATGATCATTTGGTTAGCCTCTTAATGGTAAAAATATTAAGCAAGACAAAAAAAAGAAAAGCACCCTATAAATTTGAAAAGAGATTACTTCAATTCTCAAAACAGGAAGACCTCAATAGTCTGTTATTATAATCTTTGAAGACAGAACAATAGTCAAAAACAGATCACATCTGTCCAATCAAGACAAGAGTTAAAAGCATGATTTTAAAAACGGCCGGGAGCAGCATTAAAAATATGAGAAAATAAACCAAAAAATGCTGGTCATATGGCTTACATACTCTCGAGTTAAGTAGACAAATTGTTAAAATGCGTCTACGCAAAGTAAAGCGTTATGCGTAGATATATTTAACTATGACGTTATGTAAGATGTTTATGAATCTAAGCTGAAATGTACAGCGAGAATAATATAATTAAAGGATTCTAACTTTTCAGACTAATGGTTTTAACCCAACTCATGTTAGGTATATATATATATGATATTATATCCATGATATGAAGTCTAGAAAAATTACATGGTTGTTTACTTATGTGAACTATTATCATCACAAACACTAAACGAGGAAGCAATGTGTAAGTAGAATGAGAAAGATTAGTGACAAAATTTAAGAGAATTAAGATCAACTGTAAGGAAATAATTTTGACACGACCACTCTGGAGCAACAAACAATTGAATGAGAATGAGGCAAAAAATGTTTATAAAACGTCGAGCTGATGATTATTATTGACAGAGTGAATGAATATTTCGTCAACTAACTTTTGTTTAAATTTCCAACTAAATTTTTGTCCTTAGATCCGGGTTGAGTTTTTATTTTACAACAGACGAATAAAATGACTACGATGAGGTGCTCATTTTATCCACCTTCTAAATACTCGCGTGAAAATAACACTTATCAACATGAGTCGTCAATAGTTATTTACCTCATATTCCGATTTATTTAGCAGGTGATTTGAACATGTAGAATAACTAAATATCAACACATTCAATCAATCGATCAATTCAATCAATCAATTCAATCAAACATTCAATATACATTCAATTAAAAAAGCAATCATAATTGTTAATCACAAGACTTGTTTATTTCATATAGAAATTTGATACATTTAAATTTTACAACTAAATCATGAGTCAAAGAACACTGAAATTGTAAGCAATGACTTGACACAACCATATTTTGCACGTGATGCATATTTACCCGGAAATGGCATAAAATTTGCGTGCTAACATTATTTTATTTATAAAATAAAATTTCAGAATGAGCGTCATACATACAAATTTAAGGTGTTGCAAACTAATGTGAGCATTCAAATGAGTAATTTTTTAAGAAAAATAAGTTATTGAAATATGAAGACTATTGTAAAACCATTAGAATAAAACAGATCTGTGGAGGCGTGTTGAAAATGAAATATAAAAAACTGTTCAAATACATCCATATTGAGTAAACGTAGCTTGGCAGGTGTAAGCTGATTATTTATAGTTGGACAACTCTTGCTTCAACTTTTCAATATCCGAGTCGTAAGGTATCGTCTTTTGTTTTACTATCAACTGAAAAATGGTTCAACGAATGTTATCAGAGTTGCATAATAAATAAATAAATGAATAAATAAAATGTTATCCTCAGTTGATTAAAATAGTGTGTTTTTCCAAGAACAAGGTTATTTCTTATAATTTAATAATAAAATAATCGCAACCATAAATGTATTTTTGAAAAAAAAAACAGTTGAAAGCATGTTAACCTTGCGCACATCTGTGGGAGCAACATCCATCTCGGGCAGATTTTCCTTTTTACTAAACCTGAAACTATTATTTTAAAATACTATACAAGTACATTGGAGAAAGATGATAACTACAAATTATTATTCTTAGAAAAATTATTTAATTATGTAAAAAATTATATATCTGACATGTGAAGGAAGATTTACCAATTATATACATATGTATATGGTCATTTCAACATTAGCCTAGTAAAAAAAACTAGTAATTTTTGTTCAATCAAGTTTTATTATTATCTTTAAAATTGAATGTTGAGACTTTCCAAATGACATAATTGATCTTAACACGGGATCAATGAATGTCAGAGGTGATCTTAAATTGCTTAACTGTGTGTGGAACTTGAAATGAATAAACTAGAATATCCTAAAATTGTGTTATACATATCCTTCAATAATTCAAAGTTAATCTAAATCTACATAAAAATGAAAGAACTAGCAAAAACTATTAATCCAGTCAATCAGTTCCAAATATAATTCAAAACCATCATTCACCGAATTACAGAACAATAATATAATTTCAATCATAGTCTAACCTCAAATCTGGCTTAGTTTTCATCATATAAGCAACATAGGTTGTACACATGCCACAAGCAAATCCTGTTATGGCTACAACGGGTAAAAGCTGCAAAATAGGTTCAAATCATTTTATTGATATAATTATTTCTAGATATATTACAAAGAAATGTAGAAAAATTATGAATTACATTAGCCATATGAAGATAAATTCAAGACAGTTTCAGTTATTAAACATTGTTAATTTCAGTGACTATCTATCAAACAAATGTCAACGGGTCTCCAACAGTAAAGTCAGAGTGCAGTTAGTGAGATAAAATGAATTGAAGTGGAACTAAATAAAAAGTTACAAGATTAATAAATTTAAAAATAATAAATTAAAAAACACATTAAATTAAAAAAATTTACACTCCAATGGGTCTTCAAAGTTGACAATGCAAACATGCGGGACATCTCAGAAACTGAAAATTTATAAAAAGATGTTTAATTAAGCATCATAAGATTACATTGACTAATATCGTACTACTAACAAAAAAGAATCATTTCTAATAAGTGTCGCCATAATTGAAGTTTTATGAATGTAATTTAGGTTATGAGTTCACTCATTGACGTAATGCGGGTATTTGGTGATATAGTAAAGCAATTTGATAATGGTAATGTGGTATTGTTGGCGCTTTTGAATCTCAGTTCTGCATTTGACACGGTTGATCACGCGGTGCTTTTAAAAAGATTATCAGTCTTGTTTGGTATTGGTGGTGTGGTTTTTGATTGGTTCGCTTTATATTTGACGGGTCGTGCACAAAAAGTATGTTTCGGTGGACTGGTGTCTGATGAGATGGAAATGCAAACGGGTGTACCACAGGAATCGGTACTGGGTTCGATATTATTTCTCATGTACGTGTCTGGTTTACCGGCTTTGATTTATGATCATGGTCCGGGGGTTCACATGTATGAGGATTATCTTCAAATCTATTCTGCAGGGCCGATAAAATATGCTCAAGCTATCTCTTGCGGTTTAATTAGGTGTATTATTGATGTGAACAATTGGTTAAAATTGAATCGTTTGAAGCTTAACCAAGACAAGACGGAGTTGAATGGTTTGGTTCTAAGAAGGCTTTATCTGCACTAGAAGGTATGACTTTCGATATATTGGGTAATAGGTTAATCTAGGCTGATCAAGTTTTTAAGGCTGACAAGGTGCCCATTTACACAATATAAGCCTAATAAACCAGATAAGTTTGGAATAAAATTTTGGGTTTTAGTCGACTGTAAAACAAAATATTGTTTGAATGTAAAACCATATTTAGGTAAAGATATAAATAGAATTGGCTCATTGGGAACACATGTGGTGATGACTTTAGCTGAACCATATTTCAATAAAGGTTATGATATAACAATGGATAATTTTTTTACATCATTGGATCTGACTAAAAAGTTGTTGGCAAAAATAACTTCGGTTGTAAGTACAATGCGAAATCATCGCAGAGAAATACCCATTGAAAATCCTTCTGAAGTAAATGATTCATTATTCTTTGAAAGCGAATCAGAAAACATTTATTTAGTAAAACATCAATCAAAAAAGAAGAAAAATGTTGTTCTCATGTCATTAATGCACAAAGGAAGTAAGATTGACGAAAATAATAAAAAAAGTATTTTGTTTTACAATCATAAAAAAGTTAAAGTAGATATAATGGATTCAATGGCCAGGCAGATGACTTGTAAATCTGGAACTAGAAGATGGCTTTTGGCAGTGTTCTCCAATTTGCTGGATATTGTGGGAATAAATGCATGGATTTTATATAAACACAATATGAACAGTTGTTTATCTAGAAGAAAGTTTCTTTTTGAGCTTTCAAAAGAACTTTGCCAGCAAAAAACATTACAACAATCTAAAAATTATTCCTTTCATAAAGAAATTTTTGGTAAAAGAGTCAGTTGTCAAATAAAAAAATATTGTAAAGAAAATAAAACTGTGACACTATGTTGTAAATGTAAAAAGGCTGTTTGTGGTGCTTGTAGTGTGAATCTGTGTGAAGAATCCTATTCCTAATAATAATGAATGAATTTTGTGATGAAAAATAACAAAAATAATTAAATATATTTAGTTATTTTTTTTTACATGTACTTTGTTTCATTGGGTCATTTGACTCATTTTGGCTGTTATAGTTATTGGAAAAATTGAGCAAAAACTATGCTGTATTTTATATTAATTTTAATATATTCTTGAAATATAGAAAAAGTTATAAAAAATCAAACATTTTAGTCAAACGGTTACGTCAGGAAAATTAATTGAATACACATTTTGGGTCAATTGACGGTCGGCTGTTCTAGTGTTAAAAGAGCATGATTTTTATTAACGTGTTTTACTATGAAAAAATCATTTAAAACAATGGCAAAATTAATCAGAACCAAAATATCAGCATTAAGCATTTCATTCCAATTTTTGTATTTTGTGGTCAAATACTAATCAACTTTTACAAACAAA